GCTTCTCTGGGCACCCTGTGCCAGCGCCTCAGCACCCTCACAGGGAAGAACTTCTGCCTCAGAGCTCATCTCCATCTCCCCTCTGGCAGGTTAAAGCCATTCCCCCTTGTTCTGTCCCTACAGGCCCTTGTCCAAAGCCCTTCTCCAGGTTTCCTGGAGCCCTTTTAGGCATTGGAGCTGCTCTAAGGTGTCTCTTTAAGGAGCCTTCTCCAGGCTGAACCAGCCCAGCTCTTCCCCTGTGAGCATCAGTAAACCCTTGGAGACTGCTTTGCCTTCATCGGCTGTCTGCAGCTTTTGTTTTCACTAAATAAATTTGGTGCAAAACAGACAACTATTGATGAGAAATTGGACTGTGACAATCGACTTTTACATCAATTCAAGTGAGCAGCTCTCGGATCAGCTTCAGGCTCTCACAGTGTGCAAGAGGCAGTGCTGTTCCCATGGGCACAAAGCACAGAATAGGTTGGGTTGGACAGGACCTTAAAGACATCTTGTTGTCCTTGGCAGGGATAATACATCCTGATGTTCTTTGCCTGTTTTGCTGTTTGCAGTACACGTAACTACACTGTTCCTGACCCACCGGGTCTCTTTGATGGACACGTCTGGCCCATGTACTTGAAACACAGGAAAGCAATGGAGGACTGTGGTGTTGATGTTGGTGAGCCCCCCAAGAACACTGGCCCTGGGCTTTGGGTTTTAAGGAAGCCAGTAATTTAATACATGGAAACTTGAACTGTAGTGAGGCAAAGGTTCTTTTTGTACTGGGAAGCTCTAATCCTGGCCTACTTTCTGTACAGATAAACACATGCAGTTTCATAGCTCAGAACTTCTTCCCTTTGTTTCATATTAAAAGAGCCAAACCAAAGTCTTCATAATGGGATATGAGACTTTGTGGGTCATGAGTTTTTTAAGGATGGTTCTGGGTTTCCAATTGGAAAATTTTACTCCATTTGGTCAATCTGAATAAAACTGATCTACAGGAACTTATTCTGATCAGAAACCTACATATTCATCTTTCCATCTTCTTCCAGTTTATTTAGATGGACTCAAGTCCCGAGATGAACTCTACAACCAAGTCTTTGAGGATATTCACAACAAGCTTTTGAACTGCTGACAGGTAAATGTGGTCCCACCATAGATGGGGTGGGACAAGAGGTGCTGAGTGGGGAACAACCCACTCCTGCTCCCCAGTGCTCACGCTTCCCCTTTTGCTTTTTAGGGTTTCAAAGACCTGGAAGACCCATGTACAGCGCGATGTAAATAGTATTGCAGTTGGCAGGAGGGTTTATTTGTGTAAACTCCTCTTACACTGTCCTTTGGAAAGTATCTTTTGTATATAATTGAAGAATGAAGGTAACTTATTCACAACTCTGATGGACAGGATTGTTTTGTTGGTTTTGGTTTTGGTTTTTTAACTTTCTTATTTTGTATTCCTCTGGCTTAACCCCAAGTTGAAAGTGCATTTTTTATAATGAACAAGTAGAGCTGCGTTGGGAGAGAAACCGACTCTTCTGCTCATGTGCTTCTGCAGACATGGAGTCTGTAATGGCTTGTTTGTAACACCTCAATTCAGTAAAAACACATTTCAAATCTGTCTTTGAGGTCCTGTTTAGTATGTCAGCACCTTTCATGTGAGAGGAACAGGCACGAAACTCCCCAAACACAACAGCATTCAAGGTGTTGGCCCTCCTGTATGTCATTGTCTTGGTTTCAGTGGTAACCCTGACCAGGAAGCCTGGTTCAGGAGTCCCTGCGAGAGCAGGATTCTCCATGCAATGGTGGGAGGGGAACAGCACTGAAAGCTATTTATAATGTGCTGGTATGAAACTAGTTTAATGCCATCCATCCCCTGCTTTGTGACGTTTCTCACTTCACACTCAAATTAGTACATAAAGATACTGCAGCCCCATTTCAGCCAGCAGCTGAGTGCTCCCTGGGTGAGAAGTTTGGACAGAAGCCTCATTCTGCCTCTTGCCATCCAAATGAGGATGTTATTTGGTCCCAAATTCCTACCTCGCTGAACCTCAGGAGGTGATGTGCCTGCAGAGGTGTCCTACACAGGTGCATGTGTCCAAATGGGTGACATTTAGGGCAGAATCTTGTATTAAAGTGCCAGATGGCAAACTGCAACTCTGTAAAACCTAAGTACAGGAGGTTCTGCTGTTAAAAATGCTTTGGATGAGTTTATGGAAAGCCCACAGGTTCCTTACTCATCCATGTCCTCCCTTTCTAGCAAAATCATCATTAAAATACCAGTGGCAATAGGTTTCCTGATGTTTCTGGTGATGGGCTTCCTCTCAGTGTTTCAGTGAGCTAAAGAAGCCTCCCACTGTGAATGAGCAGCACAGCAGTAACTGGGCAAACACACTATTGCACTCTGAGCCATCCCCACATGTCCTGTCCCTGAATCCCAAGGAGAAGCACTCAGCTCTTCCCCTTCCACATAGCCACCTCTGGAAGCTGTAAAGAACAATGAGGCCACCCCTTCACCTCCTTTTCTCCAACCAAGACCAAGCTGGTGCCAGGGTTGTCCTCAGCTCATGGCTTGCTCCAAGCTAATAATAAACTCCCCACTCTACTGGGCTGGAATTGGGCTGGAATACCATGGTGCCATGGGTGGGATGTGCTAACTTGCTATCAAGATGCATTGGCTAAAGATAGGAAGTGTTGTTAAACTGCTGCACCCAAGCACATGTGTTACACCATGCACTGAAGGTTCCTGGGTTAAAGTACAAAACCTCTCACGTGGGGTGAGCACAGGGATCTTTTTGGCACTGAAATAACTTGGCTGGCATCAGCACAGATCACTCTGGAAGAGTTTTTAGGAATACCTTAATTAGAAACGGTCCTCCAGAAAAGCAGCTGCCACAGATTAGCGAGAAGTCACCCCAAAACCCCCCACCAAGCTGCTTTCAAGGGGTGTTTTAAGCCACCAGAAGGATCCACCAGCTCATCCTTGTGTTAACACTGAGATTTTCCAGTTGTCTGGCCAGAACGGGAACGCCGCAGCCAGAAACAAGACAGGAATAGTGATGGCATCACCCACACTTCCACAAGCTATAAAGAGGCAGATTTTCTCATGCGTGACGCCGGGTGTGCCTGGAGACACCCACAACACACTAATTACACCGTTACAGTGCTGCGTGCTTGCTAGTGGCAAAGCTGTGAACTGTCACCGATGCCTTGTAAGTCCCATTTGAAATCGTTACATTGATTGTTTCCCAGTAGGAGAACCCCAGAGCCCTGGCTCCACTCTGAGGTGGGTTCTGGTGTGGGGTTTCCCTCAGGGTTCCCTGATGAGCTGTGCAAAACCAGTCTGCTTCCATGAGGATATGTAAGGGAGAAGCCCTTCCCCTTACCTCAAGCTGCTGTGAGGAGGCAAAACTGAAGCCTAAAAAAGGCACTTCGATATTCCCTGCCCACAGAGAAGATAAACCACTCCAGGGCAGTGCTGGCTCCAGCTCCAAGAGGGGAACTGAGGCAGCACGTGCTGGTATGTCACGTGGGTGAAATCCGGCATCCTTGTCGGATTTGCCTCTCCCATAAATCTTCCTCCCCACTGAGAGATCAGTATTCCCCTCGTCTGCCCTGGTCCCTGGTGCATCAGAGCCATCTGAGCTCCTCTCTGCAATTTAAAACCCTCACCAGCAGGTCACCTTCACCAAAACCACCCCAAATCCTGCTTTTTAAACATTCTGGTTATCTTTGGGCATCCCCCAGGATAGGAACTCCTCCAGCACCCCTCTGGAGCAGCGTACCTGCAGCAAGAAGCCTGTGCTGGCCAGGCTGAACAGTGAGCGACTTCGAAGAGCTTTCAGGAGCATGAAACAGGAACCTGTGGCATGAAATGCATCTGGGAAGCCTCAGCACTATGTGAACTTTGCACAGCTCAGGAACAACTGTCGCTATAGGATTTCCATACATCCCTTCACACACCGGCTCTGGTGACGACCTGGTTCTGTAAGAGCAGATCAAATATCCAGGACTCCAGATCCAATGCCGTGGCACCGATCCTGCTCTGCGCCGGGAGCTGCCACCAGCCAGGCGGTCATGCCATGCAGCACCCCTGGGTGCCAAGAGCCTTAGCCTGGAAGAACAGGGGCAGAACAAAATTATCCCTGGCCCCATGTGCCCCATGGGTTGGGATGAAACCTACACCCGGTGGGACGTCAGTGGCACACGCGGCTGCCCGAGGACTGGCGTGGATGGGGATATGGGACATGGGACACAGGACATGTCACCTCCACCCCCAGGAGCTGGGAGGAAGCACTGGAGCAACAAATAAAGCCTAAATTGGGCAATTCCCCCAGTCCCGGAGCTCAGCCCAAGGGAAACCCACTGCTGCCCTCCCCACCACAGGTGCTGGCGAGCTGGAGGGATGCTGCACATCCGCTGGGATTTGGCTGGTGATTCCCCCAGATCAAGTTCAGCTGAAACTTGGCTCCATCAGTAGAGGGCTGAGGGCAGCTGGAAACCCTGCGGTGCTCCCGTTGGAAATGGCAATTTGGGACCTTGTCCTCCCTGTCTGGAGGAGGCTGGGATGAAGGGAGCACCAGCCACCAGCTGCTCCGTGCTTACTGGTGGTGGTAGAGCCCATCAGCCCTTCCTGCCCCAAGAATATCGGTGCCAATCCCTTATTCACCCTGTTCCCATCCAAACAGGGATGTGGCAGGTCCCCTGCCAAAGGGAGATCCCTGTGGAAAAGGGCAGGGACCCCCCAGAAACCCTGGGACCCTACCTGAGCCCCAGGGACCTCCCCAAATCCCATAGACGACCTCCAGCTCTCAGAACCATGCTTCAACCTTCCCTGAGTCCCCAAGACCTCCCCATGGTTGGAGGCAAGAGGAGCTGGGGGCTCCTCCAGCCTGAGAGCATCCTGCAACCTGCTCTGAGCCCTCCCTCCAAGCCCGCAGGGAACTCACCTGCCAGCCCAGAAAAGAAATTCCTACTCCCAGATTAAGGAATCCCTCTGGGAGCACAAACACCATGCGGGGCACAGGAGAGGAGCTGTTACTGCACAGCATGTCCTTGCCCCCTTCCCACCACCATCTTCCCATGGCAGGAGCCAAGGCAGCTGCCCTGGTGTATGGAAACCTTTATTCTGTTAAAAGGGGGAGTGCCCGTGGGACCGAGGGCTGGGGCAGGGGGGGACGATGCCCCAGGAGGACAGGGGACAGCCAGGGTCACCCACGGGGCTGCAACACATTGGGGACCATGTGTGTCAGGCACTGAGCTGCTGCCAGGGTGCAGAGAGGGGTCCCCCCCCACCAGGAGCCCCCCAGGCAGCTCCAAGAGCCAGGTCCTGGGTGGTATGGGGAGAACTGGTCCCTGAGCACTGTGACTGGGAGTGGGGGGCAGCCAGGGGAGCACAGGGATGTGAAGCCAAGCAAGAGCTGCACGCAGGAAGCCAAAACCCAGGTGACCACAACTGCAGTGCCCTGAGGGGGGGTCTCCAGAGAGGCACAAGCCCCCTGCACACCACTGCGAGCCCGGCAGAGCCAGGGGACCTGCACCAAAGGCTGTCAGTGGAGTGGCTCCTGGGGGGGGCGGGGGGCTCGGGGAGGGCGGTCCCACCTCACACCGCAGGCCGACCAGCGGATCCTGCGGTCCCCCCCACTGCTCTGCAGCTTCTCCCGCTCAATAGACCACACCAGCTCCTGGACAAACTTCATCTCTGAGGCCACCTGCTTGGCCAGTGCCTCGTAGTGGTTCTCCAGCTTTCGGTAACGCCTCTTGAGGCCATTGGCCACCTGCACCATGCTCTTGGTCTCCTCCTGTGCTTGCTTCTTCAGGGCCTCCGTCTTCTGCAGCTCCTGCCGGATCTGGCGGAGGTCCTGGCTGATGCTTTCATTCTCCTCTTTGTACCACGACTCCTTCTCCTCATAGATGGACAGCAGGGCCTCGATGTCCTCCTGGAAGGACTTCTTGTTCCTCTCCAGCTCTCGGAGGCTCTCCTCAGCTGCAGCTACCTCCTCCATGACCTTGGAGAAGCGTTCGAAGTTGATGTACGTGTTGTTTGGTGGCATGCTGGAGTGGGACTTGATGGTGTACTCCTTCAGGCGCGTGGTCTTCAGCCGGCGGCGCTCGGGCTTCTTGCAGCTGTCTTCGCTGCGG